ATTCTATTAATATTAACCAAAGTATTGAGTCAACTATATAACTCAAGCCAACATATAAATATGCAACCGCAAATGCATACATTAAATATGGTGATGACGTTTCTAAGAACATAATGTCATTTAATGCCACATTTTATTCATGACATAAACATTTTAAATAAATAACACATGCAATACTAATTCACCGTTTATCATCATCATCAGCTCACTATACGTACCCGCCGAAGGGCTCGGAGCATACCTTAAGTTAAGGGTGATTAGGCTATAGTCAATCGCGCTGGCCAAGTGCTGGTTGGTTGACTTCACATACATCTTACTAATATTATAAATTCGAATGTTTAGATGGATGGATGTTTGAAGAAACCGAACGGTTGTATAGATCTCTCTAAAAATCCCGATTCAATTACCAATAAATAACGCAAAATATACATATCTTACTAATATTTTAAATGCGAATGTTTTAATGGATGTTTGTTAGAAGATATTTACAGAAAGGCTCAATAGATCTTGTTGAAATTCGCCATAGGCGTAGAACATGGCCTGGAATACATATAGGCTATTAATTAGGTTTCTTATTATACCGCCCGGACGGAGTCGCGGGCGACAGCTAGTTAACTCAAATATTTTTTTAAGTCAGCTCTATAACTTATTTACATATAACAACAAGCTTTAAACAATATTTAGATCTTCATTTATCTAAAAGAGTATTTCACGAACTCAATTCACATTACATCTAAAGTTTACCTCATCTTTGTCAAAACGCAATTAAAAAGTAGCCTCTAAATAAGATATGACCTAAAGGTCTATGTTACCAGGTCACAAAATTAAAAAAAAAAGTAGCCTGTCATATCTCAGTATACGTCAATTACCTTTCAGTGAAAAGACAAGGCTGTATGGCTTAGTTCCTTTGCCTGCTCTTTCGAGTGAATAATAAAAACAACAACAACCTTTCAGTGAAAGTCCTGTCAAAATCGGTTGAACCGTTCCGATTATTCAGAACAAATGCAGCAGACATATTCAAAATTAAACAACGTAATTTTAATGGAGCATGAAATATGATTTTTTTTGTATTACATTTAGACATTATTAGTTAGAATCCTTTAGCGCGAATGGCGCGCTTTCGTTACCAAGTCAAATGTCAGATTGATTACTGAGAGGACATAAACGTTGACATTTTAAAAGGCTAGTGTTGTGATACACCGGCAGTGTCGTACCGACACTACAATTATATTAAATGTATAGATAAAAATATACGTCATAAAATCTTTGCCCTTACTTTTTTTATAATTAAATAACTAAGAGGAAAATAAGATCTGGTTTTACCATATGACTAATATTGTTCTGACTGTGTTTAAATTGAAGAATAACTTCGTCGTATATAACCACATTGGTTTGACCCATTGTTTTATTACAATAAAACTATTATTTAGATCAGAAATAAAATGCACGTAGGTCATATTTATTAAGAAAAACACGTAATATATCTAACCACTAAAATAACAATAAGTCATTGTCTTTTTATAATACGTTGTTATAATTTTTCGTTTCATTCGCTTAGCTAAAAGGGGAATCGCAAACCCGCTCGATCCGCCCCACCTAAAGAATTAATTTTTTTTACAATAAATACAAAAACTACTCTAAAAAGACCATATTAATGGTAGCTTCCCTTCCCCCCAGACCTAAGGGAACATACTCATACTACGTGACCTATTTTTTTTAGTTTTCTCAACCCCTCACTCCCCTCGGTGATCACTCGGTAGTACATGCAAAAACACCCCCCCCCCTTGGTTTTTACGTAGTAATTCATAATTATGATTTTTAATCATTTCATAGGTCAAATTGTAAAAAAAATAAATTGGCTCACTCTTCTGTATAGCATAAGATTGTATGCATACTTAAATTACTAGTGAATTTTGTACCTATTATGAAAAATAACAACTAACGACTAAGTGACTAAAACCTGAGCCACCCCCTCCCCCTCCTATGTCGGACAGTAGTATTTTAAGGACTCCACCTCCCTCCCCTAAACGGATCACGTAGTATGGATGCGTTCCCTAACCTAGATCATCAATTAGCGACACCCATGTTTAGAAGCAAAGAAGAGCAAAAACCATCGCCATATTGTGACGTCATAGCATACATCAAAAAGTTGCTATACTGTTATACCAACTTTGAAAAAAACGGGTCTTATAAGATATGTAATTTGAAAATAGATAATTTATTGTTAATTTTATTTCAAAAATAAAATTTAATTGTTGATTTTTCTGTATATTAAAAGTTTATTTTTCTAGCTATTTTTTGATAGATCGTAGTCAAAAGACTTGCATGCCTTTAAAAATATACAAAGGTAAACTATGACTTTATCTATTTATCTCCAATGCAAACTCATAAAAAACATTACGCATGGCCTAATTAAAGTCTAGTTTTGTCGTACATGTTTCAATTTCCTCGAATTTTACTAACCACGGACTTGCCCACATACCCTTTAAAAACATATTGGTATTTGACGAGGAGCATAAAACTACTTCGTGGTATTTGTCAAAGATGACAAGAATGACGATATGTTTTATACAGAGATTTTCGTCTCAGAAACCAACGGTAAATAATGTTAGAACGCTTAGTTCACATTGAGAAAAATTGTAAATCGTGAACGACAGCTAGTGATTCTATAAAGTGATATTAATTATACTACGTTAATGCTTCCACCTCAATTTCATTCGTCAAGCCGTTTAGATTACAGTTTAGTTATAAGATTCAAATTTTACCGCCCTTTTCTTATAAGGTATAATAGAAATATACGGAGGAGGAGACGCAAAGGACAATGAAAAATCCTCTTTCTGCATTTACAATTACATTTGTCTATGGGCAGCGGTCTATTCGCTATTTCGGTGAATCAAGATGGCCGCATGCTCGTTTGCCATCTAATAATTTAAAATAATAATACCGGTTGTAGTTAATTGTCCTGCAAAATTATAGTAATTCAAGAAAATAACAGTGTGAAATTACCTTAAGACAATTCGATGAATCAACGGATTAATTCATACATACAAAATTATCACATATGTATGCATAACGAATGATTTATAGATGTCGCCACTTTGTATGTCATGATGCGTGTGACACAGGAAGGCATAGAAAGTGCTCGTAAAATACCAAGCCATAACACTTTGGCATTTGAGGACGCTGGAACAAAAATCTCTTGTTAGATTTGCTATTCCTTAATACAAAATTTACTGTAAATAATAAAAAAGGACAAATAAGACGAATGATTTCTAATTAAATACGTTATTAATAAAATTAACACAGAAAATAGATAGGTTATGCCGGTCGTAAAAACTAAAAATATAAAGGTACTTAATTTATTCAGCCAGTAATGTCAATGTCAAACGCATCGTATATTTCGGGCGCCGAAATCGATTACCTTTCTAGTAACAATAGTATCCTACTATAAAAGGCCTACGTCTAGGTCTAGGTCGCCTAAAAAAGCTAGGCGCTAGACACGCTTTGATGTCTGAGAAAGCGCCTCTTTCCGTTGATGCCATTGTTCGGGTGTTGAATTAAAAAAATAAGGTGACCATGTTGCCTGATTAAAATAATTTTGACAGTACGATAAAAGGTATTTTATTTTGTTACTACAAGAGTTCTTACTGGATTTCAAGTATTATATTTTCATGACTTTAATAATATAATAATCTTTCATGTTGATGAAATTAATTTCTTCATAAATACACGAGGACGAAGAAATAAAAAGAAAATTGGTTTTTATATATATCCCGTTTATTACTTTTTTTGGACCAGGCTTTTTACTCTTTCAAGATGATTAATTAAGATATCATTTCTTATATCAATCTTAATTTAAAACAAAAGAAAATATTAAAATTGTACAAATTAAATTAAATGTCGCCACCATGAACATATGACTCACGTCAATAAATCATGAGACGCGCGAAAAGCGTTACTTTTTTTGGTACAATGTCCCGTACAGAGACGTGCCTAAACTGTTAATGTTGCCATTTTAAATGTGTAAAGATAGGTGGCGAACGTTAACGCGTTAATTCATTCATTAAAAACATCAACGATCTGAATATTTTGTCACGTAGGCTTCATTAAATATTTATTGGTCAGATAAATGGAGCAACATGTGTTAATTAAATTTATTCTTTTCGTATTGTCACAGTTTTTAGAATTAGAACAAACTTAATTATGTTTGTTACTTTCAAGATTAAATAGATTCAAAAAGTATCGTGCTCTAAATGAACACCTAAAGAGGGTCGGCACTTCCGTATATCTCAATCATCCGTAATATATTCTTACGATTATCCTTTGTAGCATTTTTAGCATTCACAATAAATCTTATTACTTTCTTGAAAATATATTCATCTAAGTTTATTCTAACCTTAATTTAAAATAAACAGCTCCATGATCGCATCTAGAAAATTATAAAAAAAAGCGAGAGAATTGGTCTTGCCATGTATCCAAAAAGAGGCAAATAAAAGCAGTGTAGAGATAAAAATAAAATTTGGAACCATGAATAAAATCTTTAAAAGTTAGTAACATAAAACTTTTATTTTAAAAAAGTTTCAAACTCTTTTAAAAGCGAAATACGTGACTTTGGGTAATGCTCAAGAAAAGGTTAATTAAAACTCAGTCTCCCTAATTATAGACACAAACATTAACATCAATTACTTACTTCAAAGGGCTACAGATGAGTACGGGATAAAACTATTTAAAAATGTATGCGCCTGTATCAATTTTGTCTTTTACTTTCACTTTGATACTACTCTCGCCATCTATTGACATTTTTGAAAACTTGCATCTCTGAAAAAATCAAATTTTCGAGTTACAAGTTACAGTAAATAGCTGAAATTGTAATGTTTATAAAATTATAATTTAAATCTAAAATCTCGTTTTATATACAAAAAAATTAAATGTGCACACTGCATTGAAAGTAATGATTAAGGCAAATGGCAACACCAAACAGGCTTTTTCGCGGTCAAGGTCAAGTTCATCTTTCTTTTTGTTTTTGGAATTTGTACTTTGGATTCACCTGTTTATTTCCTGATAGTTGTAGATATAATTATTGTGCAGTGAACTGTGATATAATAACCATCAAAATGTGTTCATTAACAAAAACATTAACGTATCTGAGATATAGTAACAGAATTTTAGGTAAAATGAAAACATTGATTCATTTAGCCGACATGACCTTTTCGCGAAACTATAAATTCTCTTATTACAGGATTATCTCCGAGATTATATTCATCAAATACACCTCAATATGAAACTTTAGCTGTGTCAGTGCCGAAAAAATATGTATATCATGTTGAATTAAATAGACCTAAAAACTTCAACACATTCACACCTACAATGTGGAAGTAAGTTTTTTATTACTATTATCAGATTATAAAAAAAAGAAAATAATAACCAAAAAGTTTTATAAACTACGAGCAATTAGTTAAATGTTTACAGATAACTTTTATACAGTTTTTAATTAACTTAAATCTAAGAAGATAGATACAAATATGTTTTTTATAATTAATTTCAGAGAGCTGGTCACTTGTTTCTCGGCGTTAAGTGATAACCCAGAGTGTAGAGTTGTCATACTATCAGGGCAAGGAAAACATTTTACTGGAGGTAACATATTTTACTTATCTTTCTATGTGTAGAAACCTTCTTCACCTTATAAATGTGAAAGTTTATAATGATGGATGGATGTTTGTTATTTGGTATCTCCAGAACAGTGAATATAATACAGTCTGGTAGGACACATAGGCTACCTATAGTCTTGAAAATGTCTCAGAGATATTTTTAATTTGCAAATTTAAAAATAATACCAGTCCCGCTCACCCTAAAGAAAGGTTATCGATGGGCTTGAAACTAGTCAGTACTGACACCGGAAAAACTTGTGTGAGTGTTTTAACCATTTTTATATAACATTATGATAGTGTCTCAAGTAAGTTTGAATAATTTATTATGCCGAGTTATATTTCAGGTATTGATTTGAATGGTTTTGTGGAGAGTGCTAGTAAGGCGCATGAATTGAGTGATGTAGCGAGAAAGGCGAGATTCTTGTACAAAATGATTGGACAATATCAGGTATGTTCTTTAATTTTGTTTTTTTTTTTTAATATTGATTAAAGCCAAAAATTTTCAGCCATATCTTTCTATACTCTTTTTAAATATTCTGATTGTACAAAATACAAGAAACTGCAATATTTATCTCGGTTATAGAGGTTGTCCATAGGAATGGGACAATATCTCTTGCTTATAGAGGTTTCTCCCTTACCAAGGTTTAAGTGTAATACTTTATAAATCACTAATCTTTCTATCTTACTAATATTATAAATGCGAATGTTTAGATGGATCGATGGATGTTTGTTTAAAGTTATCTCCAGAATTATTGCATGAATCACACTAAAATTTGGCATAGATGTAGAACATAGTCTGGATGAACACAGGCTAATTCAGATTTTTTTTAAAAAAACGCGCGGACGGAGTCGCTGGTGGACAGCTAGTGAATTATGTAAAAATCCTAATTATGAAAGACATTTGGGAATTAACTGTGTAGTAATAAAGTTTTTTTAAATTCCACTTGAACAAAGTCACGGGTGTCAATAGCCTAATGGTTAAGGGTATGGATTTCTGATCAGGTGGTCGGGGTTTCGAATCCCGCCATTCGATTATTGTAGACCATATCCTAGCACAAGCATACAGCTTAGTTGGAATTGTACAAGAAATATTAGGAAAATAACAAAAAATCTAAAAAAAATAATATTGATATTTCCAGGATGGTATAACAGCATTAGAAAACTGTGTGAAACCAGTACTTGCAGTTGTTCACAGCGCATGCGTCGGAGCAGGAGTTGATTTGATTACAGCCGCAGATGTTAGGTGAAGACTTTATATTATAAAGAGCGACTAATCTGCAAAATAAAAGATTACTAATGCCTTGCTTCTTACACAGAGAAGGAGGACATACAGAAAATATTTCCCCTTCTCAAACGGGTTGGTTTGGATAGATGGATGTTTGTTAAAAGGTATCTCCAGAACTGAATGGATCTCGGATGAAATTTGGCATACATGTAGAGCATAATATGGAAGAACATATGGGCTTTTTAGGGTTCCATACCACCTTGAAAGGAAAAAAAAAGGAAACCCTTATAGGATCACTTTGTTGTATGACTATCAAGACCTTTTTTTAAATTCTGATTGATATATTTAAACTTTGTCTGAAAATAACATGACAAGATGTTAGTCAATAATTAAAATACTTTTTGTCTTTTAGATATTGTACAGAGGAAGCTTGGTTCCAAGTCAAAGAAGTGGATGTTGGCTTGGCCGCTGATGTTGGTACTCTGCAGAGGTTACCAAAGGTATGTTCTAGAAGTTTTATCATCAGCTCACTATATGTCCCTGAGGTGCTTGGAGCCTACCGGTGCGGGTTGACTTTCCACTTCTGAATTTCCTTGCAAATATGTACAGTATTGTGATTTTTTCCTTCACCATAAGAATTTCGTCTTCGTCATATTATAAATGAGAATGTTTAGATGGATGTTTGTTTGAAGATATCTCCAGAATGGTTCAACAGATCTCACAGAAATATGGCATACATATAGAATATAGTCTGGAACACATAGGCTACTAATTATGTTTTTATTATTCCGCGCGGACAGAGTCGAAGGAGTCAGCTTTTTCTTTGTATATACAGTGAAATGATAACTTTGTTTTATAAATATTTATTACAGGTCATAGGCAGTACATCCATAGCCCGAGAACTTTGCTTCACAGCGAGGAAGTTGCCCGCTAAAGAGGCATTGGAAATTGGACTTGTTAGTAAAGTCTTTCCTGATAGAGATAGGTAAGTTTAAATATAAAATATCTTACTAACTTATAAATGCGAATGTTTTGGATGGATGTATGTTTGTTAGAAGATATCTCCGGAACGACTGTATGGATCTCGATGAAATTTGTCATAGATATAGAACATAGTCTGGAAGATCACATAGACTACTAATTAACACATTAAACGCCGTAATAGAAATAGTAAAAATCATTAAAAACTTTTTGCTGGAAATAGATTCGCAATGTCGAATCTTCAAAATATATCAAGTTTAGGGTTCAATCAGAAGATGGGTTCCGCAGATATAAAAAATCTTCATGAGGTCATGCGGCGCTTTAATGCAGGCAGGGATCCGGTCACCGGTGATGGAAGTGGCGTTATGTTATTATTTTTTTATCCCGCACAGACGGAATCTCAGGCCACAGTTAATTTAAACTAAAAATAGAGTCTAACTGATAAGCAGGAACTTCATAAGAAACCTCTATAAGTAAGATATATTATCCAGTCTTCGGTCGGACTTTACTTCTATAAGCGAGAAACTCGGGTAAAAGAAACCACTATGAGCGAGAAAAATATCCCTTGAATTCTCGCTTATGAAGATTTGACTATATATCAATAGGCGAGACATTACAAACCAAACTACGCTTAAAAAGCACTACTGATGTTTTTGCAGTGGTAGAGTTGAATTAAATCTATACTAAGGGACACTTAAATACCTGTAGATGTTCACACTTATTTTTACAGCTGGATTACTTTATTTAGTGCCATCTATTAACAGATTTTGGTAACGAATTTATGCAATATTGCCGATAGATGGTGCTATTATTAATAAATTAAAAAAAAATAGTTTTTTAGATTATAAAAATAAATTCCAGCTTTACGACGTTTTTGACAAAAAGGGTCTTGACAGACGGACGGACAACAAAGTGATCCTATAAGGGTTCCGTTTTTTTTCCTATGAGGTACGGAACCCTAATTACATTTGTTTTATTAAGTATGCATAAATAAATAATTTATCTCCATTTAATAACTGAAAAGGCTTTAGCTATTTTCGGTATTGTTTTTAAAAGGATTTTATGTAAATTATTAAATTATATTCAGGACTGGTTGTAGCAACTTCGGTGTCCTGGGCGAGATTTTTTGGCATTCCTTTTATTTCATGTCAGGGGGAAACTTAGGCATCCCTTTATATTCTTCTCTGGAGCCCTTTATGGTTATTGCCCTGGGCGGACGCCCTATCCTGACGTCACTACTGTCTATATTATTTAATATTTTTTTTAATTTAATTTCCAGTGCAATACAACAAGTGCTAGAAGTGGCACAGATTATCGCATCAAAGAGTCCTGTAGCAGTACAAGTGACCAAACAATCATTGATATACTCACAAAGTAGACCTACTCCGGAAGGGTTGGAACATATTGTAAGTATAATTTTTTAATTATTACAACGTTTTAACGTCGAATATAATATGTCGGAGAAAATCAATTTATGAAGTTAATTATTTTATTGTAATGGCAACATCGCTTGTAAGGTGATTGACGTCTGTCAGTGTCACTGTATCTGTCAGTAGTGCGTGTGGTTTGACAAGTGATAGGCTTGGTGTAGAGACAGCGCCCGCGCCGGTGTGCGCACTGAATAAAGCAATATCGGATAATGATATCGTCTATTTAAAAAATAAACGCTCCCTAATATCCGAAATGTACGTAATATGAAATTTAAAAAAACATACACATTGGTACAAAGCGGGAATCTAACCTAGACGTAAATCTAGATCTCTATCTAGATATATTGTTTTAATTTATGTGTACACTGAATGTTTATATTGCTTTTTTTCTTATGACAACATAATTACGTTATTCAATAGATGGCGCTGAAAATACATAATATTATTGACACATAATTTTTTTTTCTTAAATATTGTTTATTGTTTTTTTTTTAAGTCAAATCAGTATCATTATTTAAATAAAAACATTTTTTTTTATCCTGCACTAACAATTAAAATCGATATTGGAACGAGAGATTAGAACCTACAAACCTTTTGTATCGTAAATGATATAAGCTGCCATCTTATTTAGTTTCTTCTTTTGACATGAATCATTTCATATTAATTGATAATTAAAAAAATTATTTTGTTTAAAAATAAACAAAGGAATTTTTCAAATTGTACTAAATATTGAAATTACGTGTTCAGTTTTGAGTTTGAGGTTTTAATTTTTTGAGATTCCAAAACTAAACTTTAATTTTTTTTGCCGAAAAATAAAACGACCTTGAACTAAATCAATTTCGATTTTTAATTGACGATATTTTTTGATTTAAAAAATAATTAACATTACGATAATGTACATGTTTATAAAATACCATCACGCCCACAACATAAAAGGATAAGCAGAGATTATAAATTTTAATTTAACGCGATTTACTTTTATACAAAGTTTTATCTTCTTGTCCCTTAATGTAGATTAGTACACTAAGCGATTGTTTAGTGATCGTTTAAAGATTTTGTGCGGTACTAATTGCTTTTTTTTCAATTTTCAGCGTGTAATGAATCAAACGATGCTACAAAGTGACGACTTAACAAAGTCAGCGATCAGTCAAGCAACAAAAACTGAAGCCGAGTTTGATGATTTGTAATATATTGGAAATTAATCAATTTTTTTATATTTTTATATAATATAATTATGTAATCAATATACAAGTTTGTACATGACTTTGTTCACTTATTTAATCCTGTTTTATGTAAGATTTTTTTGTTAATTCAGGTTTTATGATGTTTCGTCAAATTAAAGTAATATTGTTCCTTATATTTGCAAGTTTTTTGGAATTAGTTAATTGTTTTTTTGAATTACTTTTATATGAATATGTAATAAATTGAGTAATATTATAAATTTTTAACTGAAAATTCTTCATTTTTAACTAAATACGAACAATAATATTAAGATATAAGCAATAATATTGTATTTAGAAATTTTATTAAATAAAATCAATGGCCGATATAACAAAAAGCGAACAAGGAAGAGGGTGTGTAATAAAATTTTCATCTCTGACGTCACGCCGGCAGCAACTACGTCATCGCGCAGCTAGTAACAAAGAAAATCAGGTAACCTAGATTTACGGAGGCTGCACTTACGTTTGCAAGCGAATGACCTGCCCAAATATAGAACGGCTATAAATAGAGTCGGGGGCTCGTCGGCCCCCGCCCCTGAATGCAAGCCTGCAAGTGGGACACGCTGCAACGATCTGACCTATTTATTTTTCAATGGGTCGCCGCATGAACGGGAAGGGAGGGCCCATTGCGAGCCTCCATTCAGTAACTGCCGAGCCTCGAATACGGCCTGACCTACGTCGCTCTCCTTCGCCGGCAGTATCTATACAATATTATAACGTTTAAAAACTATAGAAGCACTCACCAGCTCAATATATCAGTAATAATCTAGCAAATACTAAGTGAAAAAGTACGGAAAAAGTGTTAAAGAAAACCATAGAATTTTTAACGAAAATTTTGACGTTTAAAAAACCCCGCGCCTTTGTTTTCGCCCTTTGCCACGACGTCATTGGTTGACGTTCGCTGTGCTGCGCTCTGATTGGTCGAAATCCTCTAGTGTGCGATATAAGCCAATAGCGGGCCGAGTTTTCGAATTTGTCAGCGATAATCGCGCCACCTGTCGCACCAACACACTCCGTTCATTGAATAACCCGCCCGGATTGCTTTATTGACGCACGCGCATTGAGGCCCAACAAAGGGCCGAAATAAGAACGGTTCGCAAGTGTGTCTGATGTATTTATGTCATAAAAATGGTGAAATCTGTGAAGTGGCGAGTAGAAATTAGGATATTCGAGGTGTCGAATCATGACCGAGGCATCTGAAAAGTAAGTGGTGTGAATGTTACACTGTTTAAAAGATTTATGTGTTCGATGATAGGTAGGGTCCTTCCCCGGCCATTTTCCGTAGCTCGGTCTAGTATTAAAGTTTTCGATATATTTACTAGGATTAACATCGGAATATATTGCTGAGCATGATTATTTTAAGTATATAATTTGTATATGTCAAATTTCGATTGCTGATATGTGACCGCCGCCCTTCCTACCCTGCGTGGTGAGTAGTTATAATCAATGAGTGCTAGTTCATTCATTATAAAGCAGACGATTCCTTTCGGGGTCATACGAAGCTGAGCCCAGCCGAGCTGTTTCGCTCAATGAATTGGGCGTTACACCATTTGCTGTGCGACCAATCATATTAGGAATATTACGCGAGAATTAAAAAACCACATATGAACGGAAATTAGTCTAATCATGCTGTCACTTTTTTTTTAATTTCCTTATTTAAAAAATCCAAAATATACTATTACAGCTCTTTATGAAAAATGTAGCTTAATATTTGTCAGATTGCTTGCATCAGAATTAAATTAAAAAAACTCAGTCATCCTTCCTTTTTTTATTTCAACCAGTATTATAACACAAATCTATCATATTTTAATCACTTAATTGTCAAAAGAAAAATTCTTATATGCCAGTGTGTCTCGTTAAAATATTAAGTATAAAAAAAATAATACAGTATATTTAATATTGAGAAAAAAGGCTTTAAGGTTTTTAAACACACCTTTCTTAGTTAAACTCATATAAATTCTTATTCATATATTCAGTAAAAAACATATCTTGTTTGTTTAAAAATTATGAAAGATTAAAAAAATAGAATATTAGTAATTTAAAACCAATATTTTCTTAATGATGTTACAATTTATGACCAGTACTCTTATTTATAAAGCGTTCAGCCAGGATCTAAGGTTTTGACTACCAAATATGTGTCTTATTAAGAGGTTTCTAATATATTTTCCACTTAATATAAATACATGCTATATTTTTCTTCTATTTTGTTTTCCAAAGACAATTATCAATCTATGTGGCATCCATCTTACACACTTATACTTACTTACTACTTATACACTTATTCTGTTCCACAATGTAAGCAATTTATCTTATAGATGTAGGAATATCTATCAGTAACCTGCAGATCAACTTATAGATTGCATGAGTGGAGCAGATCAGTGTACCTGATCGTAAATCTTTGTACCAGCATATAGAGTTTGATTGATCTTTCGATTGAATCACGGTTATTGTACATTGTGATGAGTTTGAGCTACCGACTTGGTTGTTGAACCACAGCTCTACAGATCAAGCCTATGTGAGCTGAAATTTTGAGTTGACTCAGAGCTGAACTAAACATATCTAAGCAAGAGTAATCTGTTTATAGGTATTATGCTATGACTGCCATGCATTGGTTGCTTATGAGGATGTTTATAATTTATACCTATCCTTTACTATTAAGCTCTTAAATCTTATTATTATAAATGCGAATGTTTAGATGGATGGATATTTGTTAGAAGGTATGCCCAGAAAGGCTTAACAGATCTTGATGAAATTTAGCATAGATGTAGAACATAGTCTGGAAGAACACATACTTTTTTTTTGCTAAGATGGATTCGTGGGTGACTGCTAGTTTTTAATAAATAGCCTTTTACATAACTAAGTGTATTACTTCAAAAAATACTGTAAGCACTGTTTAGTTAAAGACGTATTTTAAACCTTTGAACGCCGCTGATTGATATGGGCGTCAACGTGGTTTTAAAAAGGGTATGTACCCTTAAATATGTAAACCAAAACTAACTTTAAACTTTCGTGGACTTCGGGATATTAACCACGATTGAGCTGTTTTAGATCTCGATATTTTAGCACACTTGATGCGCCATGATCATTGGCTAAATCTTAAGAATGTTATCGTAACTGTTTTCGATGTAAATATTTTATTTTTCAAGATCGCATTTCGGAAGCCTATGCATAGTCATATTTCAATTATTATGATTTTTTTATATCTGCGAAACCCAGCTTCTAATTGAACCCTAAATTCGATATTTTGAAGATTCGACATTGCGCATCTATTTCCAGCAAAAAGTTTTTAGTGATTTTTTCTATTTCTACTATGGCGTTTAACGTGTTAGGCTAAAATGAAATTGAAACACTGTTTTTTTAGGTAGAAAGACATATTAAGTTTTTTTTTCTTGACAAAATACTGAAACAATGTTTCCTAACATGTTTCGTGAATAGAAAAGCACTTTAACGGTAACTTTGCAAATGACAGTATCCGGTGTTGTCGTTCGTTTTAACCAAGACGCAATGACAATGGATGCTAATTTTAGAATTGTAATTGCCTTGCAATTTTCTACAAGAATTAGTTGCATATTATTATTAGAGCTTTGTATTATAACCGAATTATATCTTACTCTTACTAATATTATAAATGCGAATGTTTGAATGGATGGATGTTTGTTGAAGGAATTCCAGAACGGCTGCTTGGATCTCGATGAAATTTGGCATAGATGTAGAACATAGTCTGGAAGAACACATAGGCTACCAATTAGGGTTTTTTTTTAATCCCGTACGGACGGAATCGCGGGCGACAGGTAGTCCTGCTAATATTAAAAAATGCGAATGTTTAGATTGATGGATAGATGTTTGAAAGTGTCTCCGGAAGGATTGCATGGATCTCGATGAAATTTGGCATGGATGTAGAACATCGTCTGGAAGAACATATAGCCTACTAATTAGGGTTTTTGATTCCGAATGGACGGAGTCGCGGCGACAGCATGAGACTGCAATTTTTTTGCGATCGCGATCGTTGTATAGTGAACGCTACAATGTCAAATTAGGTAGAAGAGTTCATCATCATCAACCTGCTCTTATCCCTATCGAGGGTCGGCACAGCATGTACTACTCCTCCATACATCTCTATCAGCCGTCATATCCGAGTCTACCCCCTTCTTACGCATATCCTCTTTCACACAGTCATTCCATACTTTTTTTGGTCTTCCTCTACCCTTGTAGCCATCCACATTCAATCTCATTACTTTTTTGCTTATATCATCATCATCCCTTCTCATAACATGTCCAAACCACGCTAATCTTTTACTCCTCAATTTCTCGATCACTGGCGCTACTTTCAAACTTCCTCTAATATACACATTTTTAACTTTATCCTTCCTTGTCACACCACACATCCATCTTAGCATACGCATTTCAGCTACATGCAATCTTCTTTCATCCGAAACCTTGGTGGCCCAACATTCAGATCCGTACAATACGACAGGTCTTACGATGGACTTGTAGATCTGTCCCTTAACCTTCATTGGCATTCTTGGATCACAAGTTACACCGGTGACCTGTCGCTATTTCATCCAACCTGCATTTATTCGGCTTTTCACATCCCGGTCAACAATTAGGTAGAAGAGTTATGACAATTATTTTTGTCATTACAAATACGTGCCTATTCAATTGCTAGCTTAATATTTTAGGGGCGATTTAATCAAACACGCTAGCCCTTTGAGGATTGATGACCTTTATATAGTTTGAATTTACCTGTTTCTATTTTCACAGGCTAACTTAAATAACTGACGTAAATTAACTGTATTATTATTATAGTCTTACTAATATTATGCGAATGTTAGGATGGATGTTTGTGAGTAGATACAGAAGGGTTGCATGGATCGGTGTGGCATAGATGTAGAACATAGTCTAGAAGAACACATTAAATATGTGCGTATGGAATCGCGAGCGCCAGTTATTACGATTTAACGAAAAAAGACATCATCAGCTCACTATACGTCTCCACCGCGGGGCTCGGAGCCTACCCTAAGTTAAGGGTGATTAGGCCATAGTCAACCACGCTGGCCAAGTGCGGGTTGACTTAACACATATCTTTGAATTACTTCTCAGACATGTACAGGTTGCATCACGATGTTTTCCTTCACCGTAAGAACGTCGGATAAATGTACATATGTAAATCGGAAATCGAAAAACACATTGGTACATGGCGGGATTTGAACACAGGACCTGCAGATTGCAAGTCAAGTGCTTGACCACTGAGCCACCGACGCTCAAAAAAGACATATATCTTTAGATATATTTCGTCAAATGTATAGCTAAACAGTTATATATGTATTATATGTTAGTTATATAGGATTCGAACCTGTCTCATAATATTGAAGGTTGCAATGCGCGCGCAACAAGGCCACAACACGTACTTTCTATCTCAATGAAAATGAATATCAATGTAAACGTTACGCCCCATTTCATTGTTAATATTACTAGCGTTTGACCGCGACTCTGTATGCGTGGAATTAAAAAAAAATAGTAGCCTATGTGTTCTTCCAGATTATGTTACTTATGTGTGCCAAATTAAATGGAGATCAGTTCAGCAGTTTTGGAGATACATTCAAACATCCATTATATTGTTTTATTAGTTGTCACTTTAAGCTGAAGTATTTTGTTTCTATTTGATTTACGCCATTTTGGCGCTGACAGTTGCGATTGCGGGGATAATTTGGATTAATAATAAAGAAAAGTATTAAAAAAACTTAATTAGAAGTATCTATGTCCTACATCTATGCCAAATTTCAGTGAGATCCATCTATCCGACAATGCATCCAAACATTCGCATTTTTAATATTAGTAAGATTGTCAGTAGTGGTAGTCAATATTTAGAAAATTAATATTCAAAGTCATATTATTTTAATACTTAACCAGTTTACCGTTGGGTTCTGAGTCTTTCATCTCTACCAAATATTTTAAACGGAGCATTTCGTTTCAGAAACCCACGGTTAATCCTTGAGTATTTTGCATAGCTATTTATAAAGTATGCAAAGTAACTGTATGGGTTCTTAAAATTTCTTTTCGTAATTGGCCAATGTTATTAAACTTTCCGAACCATATTTAGAAATGTTGCAACAGTCATGGATTTTGTTAGGTTTCCGAACTCCAAGTTTGGTTAAGCTTAAGAATCTTAATTAAAAAACAAACTTTTGCAAGAGGTTTATTTTAAGTTACACTGTTTAAACACGTGTTTTAACCCTTTTTTTTAAGCCGGCGACATGAACGTCAACGTGCTTGTAAAAAAGTACGTTTTATCCTTAAATATGTAATAACCAAAACTGCGTTCATATTTATTGATTAAACTATGATACCCTGAATATCTTACTAATATTATAAATGCGAATGTTTGAATGTAAGGAGTCGTCCACAATAACGTTCGCGCGGACCTTTGTAGCCTATGTGTCCTTCCAGACTATGTTCTACATCTATGCTACAGCACGATCCATACCTGCTAACAGACATCCATTCAAACATTCGCATTTATAATATTAGCTAGCTGTCACACGCGAATCTGTCTGCGCTATATTAAACCTTAATAGCCTATGACTTCTTCAAGATTATGTTCTACATCTATGCCAGCGAAATCCATGTAGCACATCTGATGATACCTTCCAAACATCCATACAAATATTCTCATTTATAATATTATAAAATTATGTATTTTATGCAGTGCCTATCTGGTGCGCGTGCGAGCCCAAGTCATGAGCCGCGACGAAGCTACAGGAGGCTGGGTGGCGCTGGGAGGTGGTGGACTGGCTGACGTCATGGTGGGCAAGCGTCGTCACCAACGTCCTTCCTCAGGTAAGCATATCATCAGCTCACTATACGTCCCCAGCGTGGGGCTCGGAGCCTACCCTAAGTTAGTGACTAGGCCATAGTCAATGCTGGGCCAGTGCGGGTTGACTTCACACATATCTTTGAATTTTTTCTCAGATGTGCAGACATCACGATGTTTTCCTTCACATTAAGAATGTCGGATAAATGTACATATGTAAATCGTAAAGCGAAGTTGTACATACACATAAGTATAGGATGGATAAATGTTTGTCTGTACATCCCTTTCCATTTAGGATTCCAATATTTATCAGTAAAATCTCGTTAACCTTTTATAAATACTTTAAATCTGTAAATAACATGAATCCATTAGCCAAAAAAAAATGTTAGTTAATTAGTGATTTTTACCTTGTAAATGTTACGAAGTATTCCGTTGTTTTTTTCCTTCATAATTAAGTTCCAAAATAAAACGTTAATTAATGTTATTTTTAACTTTGTGTTTTTTTTGTTTTGAATTAAAAATATAAAGATAAATTTTCACTGACATTGTTTTCGATAGAACAGCAATGGAATCCTACCGTAAACTTATAAAAGGGGAATATAAAAAGATGAAATAATCTCTTTCTATATGTTCCCTTTATTGGCCATATAGCCAACACGTCTGGAATCTTTAAACTTGTCTCTCTTCGCTATTATAGCAAATTTAGGTGACCACTTACTTGTACCACTTAAAAAAAATATAACTGCCTGACGTCGTCCGATAAAACAGCTGCAATCCAAAGATTTTAACAGTTGTAGATTGTACGAATTTGGCTCGTCCAGTGGAATACCACGACCACACAGAAGACATACCTCAAGTGCGAAGTAATTCCTAGTACAGTCGGATAAGTGTTTTCTGGAGGCTTAATTTTAGTCCTTTTTTATAAGAAAATGGGAGGGGACGCATTGTAAGAGGAAACATTATGTTTCTGTGTCTTTTCATAAAAGTAGGCAATGCTTCTGCGGGGTTAGACAAAGTGCATCCGAACGGATTCCATAGCGAACTTCTAGTCTTCAGTCAGTTCTATACATTTTTGAAATACTTTATGGAATCGCTTCATAGTGAATGTACTTTGTCTAACCCCTTTGCAATTGCGGATGTCGATCGCTTCGCCATTTCGGAGAATTTAGGTTTGACTTTGGATATTGTCAGGAGTTGGATAGTTTCACAATTTCATATCTCTGTCTACCTTCAATAGTATGATTGTATTTCAGCCGGCGCGGATAGCAATGGGGACACGTCTACCTCTACCTCGGCTCCCACACATGAGTACTACATACATGGAAAACGCATCAGCGATAATATGGTAAATAACTGACACTTGACAGGATAGGGGACGTATAGGAAAGGGGAAATATTCTTTTACTGTATTTCTTGTGATGGCAATGCAACGGAAACTTGCAATGTGAACTTATTGAACAAAACTATGTTACTATAATACTATATGTATACTATCTCTTTGTTGAAAAAACTAACCGTGTCCGCGAATTCGTCATATAGATCGCACATATACTAAAAAACTTCCATCCTCTATTATTTTGCAACCTTAAGGGTAAAATTTTATAAACATTGAATGCCTAAATTTAAGAATTTCAAGCTTGTACGTGTAAAAATGATACTATCATAAAAATTTCCAAGCCCCCTTTTCAATCTCCCACTTTTTACGCGTTAAAAATCTGTGTACCAAATTTCATTTAAATTGGTTCGATAGTTTTTGTGTGAAAGAAGGACAAACAGACAGTTACTTTCGCATTTATTTAGTAAGGATGGTTCTTGTTGTTTTCTTTTTTTTAAATTGAGGTTATGTTGTACAATACAGGTGGTCCTAGAATGTACTATAAAGAAGGACTTCCAGTACAACAAGGTGATGCCAACATTCCACCACTGGGTGACGGATGAGAAGCGCTTCGGCCTCACCTTTCAGACGGCAGCAGACGCGCGAGCCTTTGATAGAGGCGTCAGGACTGCTATTGAAGAGTTATTGGACGGTAAGATTGGTTTAAAAGGAAATTAACTTCAAACTTATCCCTTCAGAGGGTCGGCAGACTCTTCCATACATCTCTTTCCTTCATACGCATATCCTCATTCACATAATCCATAAATACTTTGGTCTTCCTCTACCTTTGTAGCCAGCCACTTTCAATCTCGGAAAAAAATAAGGAAAAAAAAAATTGTTTGTAATTATATTAGGTTCACTTAGATTCGATATTCACTAAGACTAAAATTTAGAAATATGTTTTATACTAGCTGACGCCTGCGGTTTCGTCAGCGGAAATTAAAAAAGTAACCTATAATATGCCCGCGTGCGTCAGCTACCTTCCATTCAAAGTTCAGAAAAAATCAGTCTAGTAGTTCAGAAAACCAATTTTAAAAATAAAAAAGGCTATTTTTTCAACACAATAAAATTAATAACTACGAAAATTCAATGGTATAAAAGGGTTTACAAGTTTTGTTTTTATTCACCCAGCTTTACCACACAGAATCAAAGTTAATGGACGCTAAGGGTGCTTTAATGTTTGAGACATTATACCAAAGGACTCTGGTTTCTGAGGCCAACATACCAATTTTAAACTAGGATTTTGGTCTCAGAAATTTACAGTAAATGTGGCATTTGAAGGGATTTTAGTTATTTATGCATAAACGTGAACTAATTTATCTAATGTGTTTTCTTTTGCCTTCCCTCTACCGTATACTGGATTTCTACACGGTGAGTACAACTTGCAATACAAAACGAGAAACCTTTATAAGCGAGATTTATCCGGCTCCGAAGGACCATGTCCATAAGCTAGAAAATTTGTTTTTTTTTTTTAGCTTTTTTATTTTTTGTAAATTTACTAATAAATTGTGGACCCTTCAACTCTCGCTAGTAGCAAACTATGTTCTAAATCTAGGCCAAATTACAGCCAGATCTATGCAGCCGTTCTGAAGACACCATCTTAAAAACATTCATTTATACATTCGTATTTATAATATTAGTAAGATGAATAAAATGAGACAAAATATATTGCTCCAGGTCTGGGTGGGGCGTGGCCGTCACTTCACGCGTACAAAAAACACAATCCAGCACCAAAAGAAGACGACGAGGAGAACAATATATTTGAAGTAAGTCTCTTTCTAACATATACAAATAGAATGAAACAGCATACAATACTTTATTAATGTTTATATACATATTTTGGACATAATAATAAATACCAAAATACGTTAATTATTATGTGAATTGCATGTTTTTGGTCTTGTATAGGAGATCGTGGCCTCGAAAGGGATAAACTTAGTACTTTCGTCAATGTAAGCCCTATTTAATATAATTACAGTGCCTCAATCTACCATCGGACTCGCGATCCAGCTCGGATACGTCGACGACCAGTCGCCGACGCGCTGACATATCGCAGACGCCGATACTCACCGCCATCACGATGACCACCCATCCACTCGAAGGTAATACATAAAAAAGTCATACAAACATATACCACGTTTAATAATACGATTTGTTACTTATAAAATACTAGCTGTCACCCGCGACTCCGTCTGCGCAGAGTAAAAAAATAATAATAAGTAGCCTATGTGTTCTTCCAGACTATGTTCTACATCTATCAATATCTGTTGAGCTGTTCTGGAGATACCTTCAAATAAACATCCATCCATACATTCGCATTTATAATATTAGTAAGATGTATTTATAACAATTTCAGAGCCGGCAAAGCAATATGAAGTATGCGAGGAGAGAGGAGGGGCGGAGGAGTCCGAGCCTGAACGCTGCCCTTATGTACATCTCAGAGCGGTGAATATACTATTTATATACAATACTAGCTTTTACCCGCGACTTGTCCCCGTCGATCACGAAGTTAGGAAAAAACGTTAAATTCAACAGACATATTGGATTGGTTTATTATATAATTAACTAAGAGTTGATTATAAAATTATTAATAAAACTCTGTTTACTTTTTTTTACCAAGATTAATTTGACCGGATTATTTAATATTTTAGGAATTTGATTTGAAAATAAATTTATTTCATCTTATCCCCAAAAGTAACGACCTATTTTGGAATAAATTTATATACTAGCTGTCGCCCGCAACTCCATCGTACGGAATTTAGATAAAAAATACATAGGCTATGTGTTCTTCCAAACTATGTTCTACATCTATGACAAATTTCATTAAGATCTGGAGATACCTTCTAACATACATCCATCCATACATTCGCATTTATAATATTATGCTTAGTATTGAGTACATATTTTTTTATATTTTCAGGTGCACGAGTACAGTTACCCTCAAGTTGGAGTCGCCTCAGAGAGATCCTCTCCCAATACAAAGCCGCCATTACCTAAACGGGACTTAGGTAATCCAATAATAAATATAAAACAATCAAGAAATTTTGCAGAAAAACTAGTCTATAATATTCCAGCATACAGCAGCTACATTCCAGTCAAAGTCCCGTCGAAATCTGTCCAGCAGTTCCGGAGATTAGGGAACCCATACTACGTGACTCGTTTAGGGGGGGGGGGGAGCGGAGTCTTTGAAATACTACGGTCAGTCACAGGAGCGGGGGAGGGGGCTCAGATTTAAGTCACGTAGTCGTTAGTTGTTATTTTTCATAATACATAATTCACTAGTAATTTAAGTATGTATGCAGTCTTATGCTATAAAGAAGATTATGAGTCAAATTATTTTCAATTTTTGCCTGTGAAATTATTAAAAAACATAATTTTGAATTACTACGTAAAAACTAAAGGGGGGGTCTTGTCATGTACTACGAGTGGTTACCGAGGGGAGGGAGGTTTCGAAAAAACTAAAAAAAGTAGGTAACGTAGTATGTGTATGTTCCCTTACATGTAACAAACGCAAACTTCCGGACATACATACAGACAGACAGACAAATTTAATTAAAATTGGTTTTTCGTTATCAACTACTTAAATACAATATGTGTACAAAATATGATTTTATATATTACATACAGACATTCCAATTTTTTAATATGTATAGATAGACAGACAGATTATTTTTATATCGCATTTAATAAATATTCTATAAAATTTGGATGAATAGGCATAAAACTTAAAAAAACTTTGGACCATCTTATTTAAAAAAAAATAGTAAGTCAACTAATTTCTAGTTATTTTACTTAAAAAAAATCAAATTATGTTTCTATCTACCCCACTACTGAAATGTGTTTAATATTAATTTTTTATTACAGGATCAGTAACATTCAGTTACCCGTGCACCACACCGCTGCCGGGCAAGAAGTACACTGTCACATTCCAAGCCAGGCTGAAATGCAGGTCATTTTCTATATTAACTACTATAATCTAAGTGCCTTTCCACTAATGTAGGTTGGTTGTCAGCTCACTATACTTCCTCACTGAGCTCGAAGCCTACCCTAAGTTAGCGACTAGGCCAGAGTTAATACTGGTCCAGAGCAGGACTTCATACATATCTGTATAAAACATGCAATCTTCTCTCATTATCTTTGACAAAACAGAGATAATATGTTTTAAACGGAGATTTAGATCTCAGAAACTCACTTTAAAACATAGAAAATGACATAAAGGATAAAAATAACAACAACTACAATACAAAGAGGGCCCTACGATTATTTGACGTTTACAGGGGCGGTAATGATTTATCATAATTTAGTTTGTCTAATATCCGCCGATTCAAATAGCCTTATCGGTGTTTATATCTGTTTATTTTATTTATATCCATCCAAACTTAACATCAAAAAAGTATTAAATAAATGGAATACATTATAATATTGTATGAATATATATTCCAGGCACTGCAACGAATGGTACTTGGAGAGCGCGAACCGTGCAGGCGCGTGCGAATTCGCTCCCGACTGCTGCCGCACATGCATTGACTGTGTCTCCTGCATCAAGTGCGCGCAGGTAACTACAATCATAAGCAGTCATCATCAGTCACAACCAGTCATTACGAATCATGACCAGTTATTATTAGTCACTGTCATTTAACATCATATCAACGTTAGTCAGCCGGAGTCCTCTTACCCTTTCCTTATAAGGAATGTATGGGAGGATTGATTTGGCTGAATAGTGGACGATTATTAAGGGTAAATATACTTTTTCTGTGCGTTTCTAAGTGCAATTGCGGATGTCTATGGGCAGCGGTCGCTTCGCTATTTCGGCGAATTTATGTGGCCGACTTCATAACAATTACAACCAAATCTGTCGTGACATAATCAAAGTTTAATGACAAATGAAACAAAACTGTCATATTCAATTACTATGTCATAAGAAATATCACAACGCAGTTATTTTAAATCATCAGACAAAATAATGAGGAAAAATTACTTACATAAATATATTTACTTTTAATCATCTAATTTCTATTACGCACTATTATCCTATAAATATAGATTTTTGCCACAAGATAGCAACATTTCAATAGCGTGTTCTAACTCGATACTAACGCCATCTAGTTTACATTACATGAAACGTAAGTAAATCTGTGTAATGTTTCAGTGCATGCTGTACCACTGCATGGCGGACTCTGAGGGAGACTTCGCGATACATCCCTGCGCTTGTCACAGACCTGATGATCACTGCACCAAGAGGTACATACATACATACAAATTCATACAAATTAATTAATATGTTTAATTTTTCTGGCACTTCCTACCCGTGGAATTAAAAATAAAACTTAATATGCTATGTTCCACACTATGTTCTACATCTATGCCATATTTCATCGAGATCCATCCATCCGTTCATCCACACATCCAAACATTTATAATATTAGTAACTTAGTAAACATAGTTAATTAATAAAATACACTAAAAGAATTCCTAATGAAGTTTTACCTTAAAATGATTCCAGATGGATAGGCTTGGCACTACTAAGCCTGTTAGTGCCATGCCTGTGTTGCTACTTGCCGCTGCGCTGCGTGCACCGCACTGCGCGCGCCGTGCACCTCACCGGCGGACACCACGCCCCCATCATCAACTAGACACGCCCACTACATCAATAACCACGCCCACAACACTTACGTATACGTCCATTGTCCCGGACGCATCTCACGTACGGATTAAACGGATTTGCTTTGTCTTTCCGCAAAATCCGTCGTCCGGTGCAGACCAATGGACGCGTACTTAGGCTGGAAGATTTTCTAATACATTTAGCAGTAAAATTAGTATGAAAGAAAGGAAATTGATATAGAGATTGGCCATTTGTAGGAAAGAGACAGAAAACTTAAGAAGAAGAGAGAAATATACAATTTTGTATATTTCATTATTGTATTGAAATTTGGAAGTTACGTATAAGTTTATACGTTTAAAAATGTGTTAAAATGAGACAGATATATTCTAATAGTAAAAGTGTGAGAAGGACAACAAATGGTTTAAAATATAAATAAAATATGCCTCATCTTATATAATTAGGACTAATATTTGTACGAATTTTAAAAAACTCATATTTATCTCGAAATATATAAGTATGTATATTATCAAATCTGAAATAACAAGATGCATATATAAAGAATTATATAGATATTTCCTTTTTGACAATATTACGAAAAAAATCCAATCCTTAACAATGTTATATTATCAAAATATATATATATATATATTACAAAGATATACAAAAAAATCTAAATTGAACCTATTTACCTTAAAAAATTAGATTTATTTAAAAAAAAACAACATACATTAATTTATCTATATGTGTCGCTAAAACTCGAGAACGACTGAATAGATATATCTTATGCTCTTGAAATGATTGAAAAATTGTCTAGATAACCTAAAAACCAGTTTCATTCTGCGAGGTTATTTAGTATAATATCGTAATAATTTCAAAAAGAAACATAAAAAATATATAATTCTGAACACTGCCGTTGAAACGTGCATCATAAATAAACCAATATATATATGTTTAGATATAATTACTATATTTGGTAGTAAAATCTACCAACAAATAGAGATTATCGATGGTAGAAATCGGTAAAAAAATATTCAAATTATTTTACTATCCTAAAAAAAAAACACAAAATTTATGACATTAATTGGAACTTAAATTAAGTAAATTGGCTGTTTTTTTTTATTTAGTCTTTTTCATAGATATGTAATCTATAGATAGAGTGTTTTATATAAAAATGTCAAATCAAGTGTTCTGGAACTTTAAGAAAATTTACTTTAAGGCCTTCAGAGTTTTTTTCTCATTTTTTTGCATATAACGTATCCATCTATAGATTATATGTCTATGGTCTTATAAAACATCGATTATCTCTAAAATTAAAATTTAATATATGTTTTAAAATAGTTAAGTCTTTTAATTGTATTTAAATTATTTAAAAATTTAGTATAAAATGTTAGAGTTATGATATTTGTAATAATATTGACATCTCTCTCACTCACTTTGATAAAAATGAGACAACAATATATTACAAATATCACAAAGTGTAGTATAAGTAAAAAGTACGAAAATTGGGACGATTTATAAAATCGCAAAAGTGTTACCAGTGCTATAAACATTGATATAGCAACTTTCAAGTGTTGCCAGTGACAAGTGTTGCCAGTAGGCATTTAAAAGTGAAGTGACTTCGGATTATAAAGTGTCAGACATTGACTACTATAAATGGAGTGGCTATAAGACGTGGAATTCTGTGCGTATTTGATATTCGCCATATTGGAGATGATGGTAGCAATTTGAAATGTGTGGATCTGATGATGCTATCATTTCCAAGCCATGAGCTATCTATTTATAGTTCAACGGGGTTAGACTAAATGCATTAGCTTTGTGCGATTCTATATCGAATTACAAAATGTATGGAACTGAGGCGTGACAAACACGTGACTTGTCTAAAGTTATTGTCTTCTTTACATTTTTGATGGAATCGCTTGAGTGAAGTTGTCTAAGCCCCAGTGGTCTCAGAATTCGTAAGTAAATATTTATTTGTAGCAGTATTATTAATTATTCGATGTTTTTGTGAATTGCTAACTATCAATTCGCCATGTGTTTAATATTTATTGGAATAAAGTAAGTGCCATATTCGTTAGAAATTATATAAGTCTTCCAGGACTGTATGATTTAACTTATTCATCAATTCCGATGTCTTTTATTCTGTGAGTCAACGATATATATTTGTTTTGCAGCAATGAAAACTAAGAGAGGCACTTTGTATTATTTATTACCGTGAAACGGTAAATCTAAATAAAATTTCTGTATATCAAATTAATTTCAACCGAGTCCATCCTTTGATAAAGTTAATGTATTTTAAATAACGATTTAATCGACTTGAAATTATTTATCTTATATTTATTTTGTTTTAAAAAAATCCTTAAATGATATAATTATTAAAATCTTTACATTACTCAAAGTGCTTCTCAATTTCGTTAATCGTTATATTTGTTGTAAATTTTATCACAATACATATGTACTACTTATATATATATATATATATATATAAAGTTTGACATATCTAATTATTAATACTTTCAATCAGTATTGGAATAATTTGTTGAAATCCTTCAGTTTTTTATTATCTATATTAAAAAAAAAACTTAAGATATGTATATATAGAGTAGTTTTGAATCTAGCACACCAAAGAGTTTTTATAAACAATTAAATCTTAATAACATTCCTTTACAGTATTTTTAAAGTATCAAGAAAGCATTGAATGTGTTTTAACACTCGTAATGCTATCTTCATATAAAATAATCACGCATAAAAGATTCACAAAGTTCCATGCAATGTTTCTTTATAAAATATTTCTTTATGCATAAAAACTCTTTCTTGTGCATGTTGTAATGTCATTTGGAACAACAATTCTATTATATAACAAAATTAAAATGTTAATACGTATATGAAAAAAATTAATCTTCTTAAATGTGGTGAAAACTTTTAAAAAATTGTTTAATATTTAATATATAAAAAATATTATTCGTTGTGTATCTTTGAACTGGATGTTACCAGTTAAGTTTGACACGACCAAACATGTGTCCAAAGTTTGTCTTTGGTCAATACAAGGGGATATGCTATGATAAAAAAAAAATTCAAACAATTAAACAAATACTATAGTATTGATACAAAGAATATAACATTTCTATATTTTCATAGATGGGCTCAACTATGAGAATGTATTAAAAACATTATTCTTAATTCTTACAGGATCAAAGTCTATTTAAAAATATAATTCAGAAATCAAGATATCTTTTTATTGTAGTATTTAAAACCTTTTGCCCAAAGACGTTTTCATTAAAATGTTATGCTGCATTGACTCCGAAAGATTTTATTGTATTATTAAATGTGTAATGAATATTTAATAATCGATAATTAATAAGTGACTTTTTTTTAAATATCAATAAAAACTTCTATAACCTAGAAATCGGATCCAGAATTCTAGAAATATAAAGAGACTATTATTTACTGTAGTATATTTAATTCTATTTAAGATAATACAATGTTTGTGTGTACTAACACACAAATTGAGCACAAGTAAACCAAAGTCGTATTTCCAACAATCTAAAAAGAATTGGTTGTTTAATATTACAAATGAATGTATTGAAATATGGAAATAAATATTAATATAGATTGAATTTTCATTACAAACTTACCCAGTTCACTTCTGTTCCGTAGTTTTACGTAATTTAGTTTCTTATAATTACTGGATTTTTATCCTAAACATTAAACACATAGCACTTTTTATGAAAAATAAAAATTTCAACAGTAATTTAATACTTTATTAAATGCGTTTTTCATATAATTTTAATCAACTTAACCAAATGATACTACATATCAAAAATGAAATTACGATGACATTTAATTTTTCCCGCGCTCCCGAGTCTGACATTGGCATTTCGTTGAGACGTTCGAAAACATGTGCTTGAGTGATGTTCTCTGGTTGTTCCGATTCCGGTTCTTCTAATGTCGGAGTTATGTCTGCGTAGTCTATTGTTACCGGAAGTGTTCGACCCACTGAAATAAATTATTTAACGGAGTTATTTGAAGAAATATCTCTTTAAAATATGAATAAAATTTGTAAGTAAAAAGATTTAAAATTTTACCTATTATTTTCTAATAAATGCATAGTTATTAAATTACTCAAACTTTCGTGAGACGTTATCGTAAACTTTAGTATCAACATGGCGCAGTGAGCGACGGGCCGCGTCCGCGAAATAATATAGTCCTGGTGAAGGGCCCGATGGGCTCGAAACTAGTTGGTGCTGATACCAGACAAACATACGTGAGTGTTTAAGCTGTTTTTATATAAATTCATAGTTTTGACTAATCTTATAAGTACAATGGCATAGTATTAAAAATAAATCTACCTCCTGGTTCGGTTGCAAAATGTAGAACCGCAGAAGTCTTACTCCATCCGAATCTGGAAGTTTTGATTAATTTGCGTCAAGTATTTAGCGTAACGTAACTATACCGCCGTCTAATACGTTTCTAACGCCATCTATCAAAATTACAAACCTATTTCTAGATGTAACAGTCGCTTCATACACAGTCGACGGCGTTAGTCCTCTTACTGTATAACTTGCGCTGTGAATAGGTCCTGAAATAAATATTACCAATAAATACGCGATAAAAAGTTTAGATTGTTTATAAAATTGCAAAAACTATAAGAAAATTGAAGTAAACTTGAAAACTATCTAAATTAAGTATTTTAAAATATTAGAAGGAATCGATTGTATTCTTTAAAAAAAAGTCTTCAAACCGTCAATTGAGTCTCCGGGCACGACAATCTTGCTCCAGAAGTAAGCAGGACCTACTGTCGACACGGAGTCAGGGTCGATTGGAGAGCGACTACCATAGTATGGCCGGATCCATAGATTATACTCTGAAAACGGTATACCATTTTTAAACTATGGTTAAAATGTATTGAAATTTTTAAGTTATTTGTACGTTAATTAACTTACCAATAATCGTTGAATATGAATCCACTTCCCATATAAGTGTGAAACTAGTAGATGTCGCTTTGTTTAGGGAAGGATCGACTTTAAATGATGCCACATTTGGAACACCTGAACAAATGATAAGTAATTTAAGTAATCTGAAGTCTATTTGCTTTTTTGGCGAATTTAAAATTTCCAAGTAAATTGCTACTCACCAGTAAGTTTAAACGAAACGTCAGCCATTCCTAACTTATTTTCCGCGCGGAAAGTATAGTTTCCCAAATCAGATTTCCTTACAGTCCTGAATATCAACTGATGAGAATTCTCGTGACCCATAATAATGATCCTGTAAAAAAAATTTTTTTTAAAACCGTAAACTTTGAATTTACCGATAAAAATAAGATTTAGGCACATCTCTAATAAGGGATGTACTTGAGTATCGATAGAATCTCAGTTGACATGAGAAATATTTTTCTTTACTACGAAAAACCAAACGTATTAAAATTACTAAACATTTTTTATTCAATCATTAAGTGGTCAGTAAATGAACCTACTAATTTAGGGTTTTTGTAACTAATCTGCATATAAAGGTTATTTAGTGAATAATTTCAGTCACACATTTTTAACCTTAATCGTTTAATTTACAAGAAATGATACGAAATAACAATAACCTATCGTCAGTCTTAACCGGTCTTCCGTCTCTAAACCACGCGGTCTTGGCAGGCGGCGCGGCGAAGTCCAGCCTCGCTTGAAGCGCCGCGCGGAGCCCTATCGCCGTATGCACAAATGTACGTACCGCGGAAACTACTGGAGCATCTAAATAAAGCAATCAAATTTAAAATACAGTAAATTATAATGAGGTAAAAGTATTTATAATGAAAATTTTAAAATCTTTGTTTAAGAATTATGTATTAGATTCTTTGTGACAAACACATTCTGTGTTACAACAAAATATACAGTTAGATATTGTTTTGTTAAATACGTGCATTAACCTTTTGAATGCCTTTCGGTGCATTTAATTATTAATTGGTCAAGAACTCAACTCGCAAACCTACGCATAATGATTTCAATAGCCATGATTTGTCAAAAACCTGCGTCGAGCATTATTGTCACGGTATAAAGAGGCTGTATGTTTAAATTAAAATGTATTTGAAATAATAATATTTTGTAGTATGACTTATTGACTTTACCTTGTATGATAACTCTAATGGCTGCCTTGACTGGATCCCCGACGCTGTTATCCGCAATACATTCATACACCCCGGCCAGCAAGCGATGTTCCGCTCTGAATCTGATTCTAGATCGATGTTCTAGAAGTGCCATTGCTTCACCCTGTATAAAACATACATTGTTATACAACTAGTTGTCGCCAATAACTCCGTCGGCACGGAATTAAAAATAAACTTGATATGCCAAATTTCAGCGAGATCCGTTGAGCCATTCCTTAGACACTTTAAAACAAACATCCATCCATCCATCTATACAATCGCATTTATAATATTAGTAAGATAACATTTAACTCATATTTTGATTACAAAATTTAAAACCTATTTGTATTATTTGCTAAAGCTAGGAAATTTCAGAAGTTTCAAAGAGCACTGATAATCTAGCAAAGAAAAGACGTGTTCAGTGTATTGTGTAGTTTATTTTTTAAAGAGTTCGGATTGGAATATTTTACACGTACATTTTTCCTCCACTCGATAGTGGGTTTAGGCGTCCCTGAGGCCTCGCATCCGATGTCCACGTACTCTCCTTTACGAACCTCAAGGAATCCTTCCTCCGGTATTGTCCTCACTGTAGGAGAACCTAGAAAAGACCATAGACCACTTTAGTACCTCAATTTTTATTTAAAATCTATATTAATAGTACGACAACTCACATTGGACTTCAATAGAATGTGACTGCTTAATAGGTCCCAATGGCTCTGGTCTAATCACCTGAAATTAGAATATGAACTTTATGAATTGTTGTTACAAAATGTATAAGCATTTATTTCTGTTGTATGGCTATGTATGTGATATGTATGTATTCGGTCAGAGACTATTTTCATCTCATGAAATTTTACAATTACATTTTTACGTTTTTGCTTTATATTTACAGTTTTTACTTTTTTTGCAATTACTTTTACATTACAATTTTTAACTTTTTACAATTTAATTTTTACGTTTTAGCTTTTACATTTATAGTTTTTTAATTTTTACAATTGAATGCCATCAATATGGTTAGCGTGGTTGTTGCCGACAGATACGGAACTTTTTACACTTTTTTATTCTTAATTGTTATATTTTTGAATCTAGAACTTTATATGTTTTTTCTTCCTTTTTCTTTATTTTTAAAACCATTTGTTGTAAATATATTCTTGTAACAGTGCGTGCTTTTCTCCTTATTTCTAATAATTCTATTTAATATTTTCATTTTATGTTTTTATTATATAACATAATATTCCAAAATTCATCTTAATCCTAACGCTCTTCCATCCTTACATATTCGGTCGTCTTTAGTGGTGGTGGTGCTTCATTCTGAGTATGCAAACATACAAGGAAGCACCATTATTACTGATTTTTTAAAGTTTTAATGCCAAAATTTTGCTTGCCACATTAATAGCACTAGTCATTTAGCTTAGATTGACTATGACTTAAGAGGCACACCGTAAAGTAATTGTTACATTACGGGAACATAAAAAAGATATATTTTCCACGGATGTTTTGGCACTAGAATCCCACGTTCAGACTATACCAGAGTTATTGGGTTACTAAGTTAATTAAGAACGTCCTGAATCATACACCAGCTGCTTTTAACAAGATCATCCGAGATACTTTTGACTAGCTCTCGCCCGTGACATAAGTACACATTTTTCTTATACAGCCGTGTTTTTATACATGTCTTGACAGTTTTTTAAGAGTTAAAAATAACTGTAGCTATAATTTAAAATAAGAATGACGGCTTTAACAAAGAGTTGAGCAAATTGATTAATTGTGTAATTGGTTGCTAGATAGATAGTTACGTAGTGATGTGAATGATTTCGATATTTTATCGATACATATTGAAATAATATGTAATTTTAATTTTTATAACTCGTATTATAATATTAATATTTCGTTTCCAGAACAAAAAACAAACAAAGACCAGTGAAATTACAAAAGAAAAAGAATCATATTTTAAAAGTAAGTGTTCTGTTAATATTTTATTTAAACAATTTAAATATAAAGAGTGTGTTTTAGGTTAGAAATTAAAAGAATGTATAACATGTTATCGATAATTTATCAATGACCGATCACATCACTAGCTTCAAGTAATTGTTAAGATCGAAGGGCGGTACGTTTATAGGAATTTGTACAAGTACTTAATTGGTGTAAGCTGCCCGCATTGTTTCGCAATTCATGTGTTGAAGAATACTTCAAATTAATATAGTTACTAAAGTTTGTTTCGCGGCACTACATTATTCGCATATAATACGCGAAGAAGTGACCAATATTTTTAATTATTTTTTCATTCCAGATAACTTTTCAATCATTCTTTTTCAAATAACAGAGATATAATTTTCGTAAAGTTAAAAGTCAACGTTTATAACTGCTTGCGCCGACATAAAGTTTGTATACCACTGTGACAATGTATTTTAAGCTAGTTAAACAAAGGTAAAACAGCGAGGCAAAGCAGTAGACAGTGTAGTACTGATCTCATTTGAACGCAAACTGTCAAAATAGTTCTGCCCTACTGCTCTTGAACTATAAACCTACAAAGATATCTGACCCGATGGGCACAAATTATGACAGCTCACTAACGCCCCTCAGGTAAAGTTCAAAAAAGTGTCACAAGATTCTTTATGTGTAAAACTGCTTATGATATTTTCCTTTAAACGCCATTTTATAAAAAAAACGGCTATAACCCTCTCATTGTCTCAGATATTATAGTTAGACTTGATACATATTGTCATTTCTCACATTTTCTTAGAACAGACAGAGACAACATATGTCAACAAATGTTGCAAAACAATAAAAAGATTAATACCAACCTCACAAGTATAATCAGCTGTATCATGAGCTCTTAAGCTGTCGATCTGCAGACTGTAGTTCCTGTGCATATACATTCTGCTAGGTAATAAAGTGTGCTGGTCTAACGTGTCACCAAGAAGACGGTTATTCTTATACCATTTCACTCGAGCCACAGTTTCTGGAATTAAAAATAGAAGGCGTTGAGCCTATATCAAAATACTAGTAGTAGAATGTAGAAGTATGTTTAGTCGCGCTAATTTCTGAAAGAAGACTCCAGATTTTAACAATACCTTTTTGATTTGATAGTTCATTATATTACAAAGGTATCTATCTAAAACCTCAAAAATATGAGTATTTAGATTTATTAACCTCTATTAACACGTTCAATGTCACTAAGATACATACCTTATACATAGAAGTTTATTCGGTAGGACTTACCGTAGGTTTTCGAGTCTAAATTCTCTTTATAAAACATATTGTCATCCTTGTCATTATCTTCGACAACACAGAGATGACAATATGTTTTAAACGGAGATTTGGTACTCAGAAACCAATGGTTAATGTGTTAATTGATTATTGACCAAAATTAGTTGATACAATTGTTTTTGGTAAGAATTTTTTTATCTTATATATAAAATTCTCGTGTCACAATTTTCGTTCCCATACTCCTCCGAAACGGTTTGACCGATTCTCTGAAATTTTGTGAGCATATTGAATAGATCTGAGAATCGGCCAATATCTATTTTTAATCCCGTGCGGACGGAGTCGCGGGCGACGGCTAGTTTCATATAAAAGAGGTCCGTAATTCATTGGCTATAAAATTGCTACATCAATACGTGAACTCTCTGCGGGCAAGCGACAATTGCCACACAAAGATTCAAATCTAACTCCCTTCCTGTTGGTAACTATCTACTGATGTATGAAGATATTGTGCACAGTTCAAAATGGATACGGTATTTATTACGGAAGAATTGAACTTCTGTATTGTTGCCTCTATTTTGCTGAGAAGAATAAAAATTACTTTTGCTTATTGAACTCTGTTAACAAAATCTTCCTAAATCAACATTTAAAAATCTGTCTGTTTTTATTATGTAAAATTATTTTATAAAATTAATTGCAATTTTACCACATCCATAATTTGCAATACCGAATCAATGTTCTGATGACTGAACCGACGTGACAATTCACGTGTTTGTGGCCCGTGACGTGTTGCGAACAATATAATATCACTTTTGTGTTCACCCCTTTTGTATTTATATCATAATAACTCAAACTGTTTTGTGACTACGAACGCGGGAATACAAAGTTCTATTTTTAAAACAAAATCGCTAATTCGAATTTCGAATGCATTTTATTATCGATATGAAGAACGTTAAAATAGCGGACAACCCTATTAGTATAGTTTTACAGTATAAAAAAAAGTTAAAAAGATTAAACTTATATTTGAATAATAAATTACATCTGGAGCAACCATACATTTAATTTACTCAAAAGATAAAACTCTTTATAGTAACCTATTTATTAAACATAAAGCTGCCAGCAAACGTAGTCATCTAAAAGATTTTTATGACATATATTAACACTAGCTATCGCCTGCGACTCCATCAGCGCAGAATTAAAAAAAAACTTCATTAGTAGCCTGTGTTCTATCAGACTATGTTCTACATCTATTTCAAATTCCAGCGACATCCGTGACGGCGTTTTGGAGATACCTTCAAACATCCATCTTAACATTCGCATTTAAAATTTTAGTATGATATGCGTGAAACTTGATGTTTTTCTAAGCTGATCTCTATGAATAGACTGACTTTAAGAAGTAGTAATTTGTGCCTATTTCATAATATGGCGCTGGTGGTAACGTTCTGCTTGTGGTGTGGATTCGAACTCATAATATAGATAGAATTAATTATCACGTTACATCAATAAACGTTTAAATCAGAACGAAATATATAGCTGTTAATTCCAAGCAATCTCCTATCCTTTTATACTGATGATTCGTGTGTAGGAACCCTAAAGTTTATTTAAATTATAGAAGTTATAAACGACATAGGACTTTAATAGTATTATTAAAATGTAAAATAAGTAAATAATAATTTGTAAATACATTTTTTAAACATAATTTCAAACAAAGGTTAAGTTATTACATATTTAAATATCTTTTTATTTGATAGTTTTAATAGGTCAATAAGAATATTGACTTTTCATAGTAAATTAGCTTTTATATCAATAAAAATAAAGGTCAAAATCATGTAATCTTTACGGAAAAAAGTACTTACATGAAACATATAGTCTTGTCTTTCATTTTATTTTGAAAACAAAGAGATAACAAGATGTCTAAAGATTTTGTATTTTAACTAGTCGTATTTTGAACTAAATTTATAATCTATATGATTAATAAAATTGGAGTGTTTGTATCAAAAAATCCGTCTGTCTGTTCGCAAGGCCGTGTTTGTTCCGTGTAATCTCCAAAATGGCTGAACGGATTTTGACCGAACTTTTAACGGAATATAGCTAATGTTTGCGAGAGTAACTAAGGCTTTTTTATCCTGCCCTGACAAAGTCGCGGCTAACTGCTAGTTAATAATAAGATTTGTCTCGTCTTGATGTAAGTTAAAGATGTTCAACCCTAGATCCGATATCAGTCAGATAAAAAATTGTTTGAATAATTCCGACTTTATAATGCTAATGCAATTTATGTTCACGTATTAAATCGGAGCACAAAAGATGTCCGTCTTTAGCTTTGTGTGTCCATTGAAGTACGTGAATGGACATAAATTGAACTAATCAAAGTTAAAAAAGGTGTTATCGAAATTCATAATGATGAATATTTCCATTTATTTAAGTATCTTCTTCTTCTGCTAGCTCTACAGCACTTTGTGGGCCTTGGCTTGGTCCAGCAACTTTTTCCACCTCGGTCTATCTCTGGCCACGGACTTCCAGTTTGCTATGCCTCTGGCCACGGACTTCCAGTTTGCTATGCCATTATTTATTTAAGTATCCAATAAACAAAAATTCTTTGTCGGCGATTATGTTATTAATAAGTACAAATACTATAATAATTCTCGGAGTAATTTAAACACAATGTTTACTTACAAAAGGTTTCTTTATTCTTGTAATGAAAATATTTATTTTTCCTTATTGTCATGTCTATTACACATTACTTGAATCCTACGCATTCAATAACAAAACATAATCTATAGAAAGATTCCCGCCTTTTTAATGCATTACTGTCAAAGTAGATAATGTCAAAACAATGAATATACAACGTCAATAAAAGCGCGCCGGAACCGGATTTAATACAGATAAAATATATCCTATTGATAACTTTTTAATTGATGCTGGCCGAATTGAATACGTAAAGGACACAGAACAAAAAGTTTCTATAGAAACTTTTCGTTGTTTATCGTTACTCTCAGATAGAAGTTTTTATTTGTTTTTGTAGCGTCTTATGAGTGAGATATTGCGGGCTTCATTCCCGTTTATATTTTGCTCTAATTTTCCAAAAATATTCCATTCCTGTATCCAACATAAAGGCTGTAAATTAAGAAAATGTACATACCATAATGTACATAATGGGCGTAAAAAATATCAAAAATTAATCGTAACGAATTTTTGATCATTTTTAAATTAAATATAGCTAAAAAAACTAAAATAATCATATAAACTCACCATTATCTTGTATATAACACGGCAGTAGTACGGATTCATTTTCGTAAATCTTGAAAACGACAGGAACACTCTTGAAGACTTTCTCACAACCGCCAAATTTTATAAATATAATTATAATTACAACTAATAATTTATTTATTGTCATCGTAAACGACATTTTAATTTTATTAATTTACATTTGTAATTTATAATTAAAAAAAAACAAAAATAGCGTTTTATTTAAAAAACGTAAAAGAAAAAAGCCTTTGCCTTGTCTAAATTTTTTTCTTTTTATTTTTAAAATGCTACAATAGGTAGGATATTATTTATAATCTGTGGAACATTTGTCTTGTGGTGCGCACGATTCAACTAACCGAATATGACTGTACTGCCCAAGCGCATGTCGCGTCGATTACAATAAAGTTAGGGACACAATGAGCAGATATACTACACAAATAAAGTATTCTATTATAAATCATATTGTTTTTATTTTAAACACAAGGTCTACCTTCATACCTATCCATTTTACATGATAACATCAAAGTTTACAACTATTGTTTTAAGATATGTAACTTGTAATAAATATATTGTAATAAATGCGTTCAGTACACCACTGTCCTTTGTATCCCGTCAATTAATTGATTCACCTTTATAAAGTAGCTGGCATTTGTAATCTGAGATAACTCACTGCGTCTTAACAGCTGTCAAATGGAGAGCTTCTAGACAAATATCCAAACGTGGGTCATAGAGTTAAGATCTATAAAATGACTTTAAAATGCTTTCTCCTAACCTAACTTTTAAAAAATGACTTTGTATTTTTAATTTCTCACATTAATGCACATTTTTATTACGGCAAGCACTTAAAAATATATCAAATGTTGCAAATTAATCACTTATTTTATTCCTAAGGAGACAATTTTTTTGGAAAGTTACTGACGTAACTGTCAAAAAGAGCGCGAACTTTTTCTATTGGACATGATGTTTTTCTTGTAAAAAAAAGACAAAAACCGCGGTGTACGTTTTTATTTTAGTAGGATTTTAAAAACGTCATTTTACGAATAAATTAACGAAATGATAAATAAATTATGTCCTTCGCTTCTTTAACGTCTTCGTCTACAGATGCTTCAAGAGATAATTAATTGAACAGAACAAAATAATTAACCAAATAAACAAAAAGAAGAATCAAGACGAATTCTTGGACAAAAACATAATGCACTATTTCTGTGTACATCATAAATTCCTTGTCCTACAAAAGAATAATAGTTTTACGGCTATAGAAAATTATTTGAATAGCCTGATACAGAAATAATTTCATTGGGATATTTTAAACATGACAAATACCATTACGGGTTAAATAACATCTTTTGTTTAGTGAAACAGTATCTAAGTTGTAGCAATTTGAACAATCTAGCATTTATAAACTAAACAAAAACATTAATAGAACTTGAACTACGATAAATAAGTGGTATTAGTTCTTTCGACTTTTATTATTTTATACAAAGAAATAAAAATGAAATATAGTTTTACGAAACGTATGATAATTACTCCTTTATTTCTCTACCAACAATTTGACTCAATTAATCTTACAGCAATTACAATAAAACATTCAAACACATCAGAAACTGTTAATCTAACTAACCGCCATTTTTTATAATTGCCGGCAAAGCCGCGGGCATTTTTGGCGGCCATCTTGAAAAATATTTTGACGTTTTCATATTAGATCTTTACGAAATAAAAATAAATTACTAGTTACTTTCGAATTGGAAAATACAAATAAATTGGAACTGACGTGCATGTATGCGTAGATGTAGTGAAAGATGAAGAGACGAGTGAGTTAGGCCAGGCCGAGTCAAATAGAGGTCTGTGATCCTATCCCTCGGTGTTACGGACGTGCCTTGTCTCGTTTTACTTTAAAAAAGGTGTTTTATAGGGACCCTGTATGATGCTATATAAATGATAGAATAGGGACTTATCGCAAACATAGTCTAATTGTCGGTTTTCACTGTATTCTCAAACATGTTGTCATCTTTCTTATTCCCTTTCAAAAACAAAAACAGAGACAAAACATATCATATAAGATAAAATGCTTAAAATTAAAAATGTCTATGGGCAGCGATCGTTTTGCTATTTCGAAGATTTAAGGTGACAGCTTGCTAGTTTGCTACCTTAAAATATAAAACAAAATGCAATCACTTTTATTAACAGCGTGATCTTTATGGTGCGACCTTTGACCTCCGCTTTGTGTGTGGTCACTGGTCACTTCTATTTGTTAGCTAAATCAGTCTTCGACATCTTTGTACTTTACTATACAGGATGTATTTAAATTTAAGGAGTTTTAAATTTGGATATGCACTATGCAATGTCTGTCAGCTTTTAGCAATCGATAATTTGTGCTAATTGTTTTTTGTCTGAATTATAAAAAAATAAATTTGAAGTTTTTCAATATGTGTCCGAGTTTTATTTTTAAATTATGAATGAATTCCCCCCTAACTTTTGGCCGTAACATCGTTTGCGCGGTATTTAAAGAAATATTCTAGTAATAACTCGCACGTTACTCAGTTACAATATTATTTAAGAATGCCAAACGAATTTTGGGAATCGGTGCTGTAGTTTTTGAGTTCATTACTAAGGGAGACTTTTCAAGTCACCATTTAACTATTCAGAAAGTGACAGTAAGATTTTAAATTTCTCCTGTACAAAACATCCTGTATAAATCTATTAAATGTTCTTCAATAGTCGGCTGCTAAGCTCATTGTGCTCTGGACATTTGAATAGTAAGTGATCAATTCATCTCAAGAGTGACGACGTGTTTATGTAATCTGTATTCAAACACATCGAATACATAAGTACACCTAGAGTTATATAGAGTTTATTACTTGAGTGACTTCCTTTTGTATAGAATCAGATTACGTTAATTATAAATTATTTTATCTTTTTACATACATGCTTTTGTCGTGTGAGTTGTTATATCATATTTTTGAATTTAAATATCTAAGTAATTATGTAAGTCTAGTCTTATGTTAGTTAGTTATAAATTGTAGTGATAAGAATATGCATTATTATAACGACTTGGTGCAATTTAGTAATGGAAGGCAAAGTTATTTCGATATAAAAGAGTTTGGTTAAATATTTGATTTTTCTAGGTCGATTAAATCTACTACTAGTTTATAACCACTAAGTCAAATATTTAATGAAATCTTTATTTAAGTTTTTAAACGTCCAATACAGATACAATAAAAATATTAAAAAATAATAATTTTCCAAGCTGGCAACAAAACGTCTGGTAACATTTACAAAATGTCCGACGCTAATTCCGAAAATGACGTTTTAGGGCCGCCTTCCTTAAAGAAAATTAAAATTGACGAGCAAAATGAGAACGGTGTCGACGACATTCAATTAGAATTGAAAGACTTTATTCCTGTGAAAATTCTTAACAATAATACGAATAGGAAAATTGTGTGTATTCAAGGTACATTTAAAGACAAAACTGGTGTGGCTTTGGTTTTGTTAGAAAAAAATGCTTTCAAAGAGGAAGATTTAGACAATAAAGGATATTTTAGTGAGGATACGAAGTTGCGAACGTTCTTCAAGAACGATATTTACGGTAACTTCGTATGTTTCCCGCTTCCTGAAATAAATGGTGAGTTGTTAACTAAAAGTACTTTCAAAAATCTCAAGGTTTCCCCAATCGACGTGATTAGTCATATTTCTCATTTTACACTTGATATTATATACTCTGTGATATTCTCGTATAATCGTGAGTGTATCATCTTTTTGCATTAGCATGTTACGTTTTTTATTTTAAATATGTCGTTTTAACAATTTTCGTAACATCTGTCCATGTTGTGATTCAGATTAGATAAGTAATTTTAGTCAGCAAAGTCATTACCAATTATAAAGGTCAGATAATAATTATTTACATTAATAGTTAATTCTATAATTAAACTATTAACAATTTCTACATGTTATACTTTTCTCACAGATGTATTTCGATGTATTAATACTTTGCAAATTATTATAAAAACTAGTTTTTTTAACCTTTAGAATTACAAGTTGCTCTTTTAAAGCATTACACAAAGAGATTTCATATGCACATTTGCTTTTAAATAGTTCAACTAACATACATTTATATGGTATAGCTTATGCAATACTTTCACTTTACTTAACTTGATATATACTTTTACTATGATTAGTGTCCTTACTTACATAGTTATTCTAGCTGTAATAAGTAGTCTATGTGTTTTTCCAGACTATGTTCTATATGCATGCTGAATTTCAGCTAGATCCATCCATTTAAACATTCACATTTATAATCGTAAGATTTTTCTATTAATTATGCATCCAAGATTTAGTTGGTTTAGTTTAGATCTTTTTACTAATATTATAAATGTGAATGTTTAGATGGATGGATGTTTGATTGAAGGGATCTTGATGAAATTTGTCTTTTATATAAAGCATAGTCTGCAAGACAACATAGGGGTGGACCGAGTCGCAGGGAACAGCTAGTGTTTCTATAAATTATGTATTTATATAGAAATACTTGGTTTACTTTATATACATTTCATATGCTTAACTTTACTATTATGTATGTTTATGTTTCCAGGTGTAAAAACAACAATCATCTATCCAGCTACAGAGAAGCATATAGCTAAGTTCAGTCAGCAAGAAGTACATATTATATTAGAAACCCCAGAGTTGTATGAAAAATTAACTCTACCTCATATTGAAAAAGAACAGTTTAATTTACAGGTAAATATTTTTTCCTCCATGCAGAATTAAAACAAAAACATAACTATTAGCCTATATGTTCCTCTAGACTATGTTCTATATTAATGCTAAAATTTATTGAGATCCAATCAACCATTATAGAGTTACCTCCAAACAAACATACATCCATCCATCTATCTAGACATTTGCATTTATAATTTTTGTAAGATAAACCAGTGCTTGACCACAAATTCACTTGTTAGTAAGTGGCTATGTAATCGAAGAATGGTACACTGTAGCTTAGTAAGTACCTATGTATCTTGTTTTTGTACATTGTGATGTAACCTGCACATATCTTTAAATTCAAAGATATGTGTGAAGTCAACTCTCACTGGGCCAGCGTAGTTAACTACTGACTACTACTGCAGCTACTTAAATAATCATCTACAATTTAAGATGTGTT